GAGAATGAGGACTACTTTGCTTCTATGTCCAGGCGTCGGGTGGGTAAAGCACCCGTCGCCGAACATGTTCCTTAGTCTCGTTCGTCATCACTGTGAAAAAGAGGCTTTGCTTTGGGTTCGATTCCTTCTCAAGTTCCTGGGATGATAATTTTAAGTTCTCGTAGTGGTAGCGGTCGATTCACCACTATCGATCAATTGATATATTGGTATTCAAGTTCCTTGCTGCTAGAACATTTCCCTTCGATCTTTTGGGATCTACTTGTTCGCCAGCCTTCACGAAGTCCTTCTGGGGATAGAAGCGGTCTGAGCTCTTCAAGAGGACTGATCAATTTCTTTTGAAGGATTGAGAGGCTTCTCACCTCCAATCGATGGCCTTGGACTTTGTCTAGGGTGAGTGGGTTGATGGTGTGGAGCATGTCATGGCCTCATTTAATTTGGCAAAGGAGGTTGAGGGTTGGGCAGAGGAAGCTAAGAAGAAGCTTGTCGTGGTACTGGAGAAGCTCTCCTTAGCTTTCTAGTCACTTTCATTTCTTGCGGCGGAGAATCATCGTCTAATGGAGCAGATGTCGAATATGAAGACTGAGGACGAGTTCTTTTCACTGCTTCTATCTCAATCTAGGCAGGTGGGTCTATCGAAAAAGCAACTCTGTATTGGGATTTTGTCATCGATTGACCATTTTGTTTTGTCGAGCTTGGTTGATCCCAAATATACCGACCTCTGAGAGTTTGTCACTCTATATTCTAGTTCTGAAGGGTCATCCTGAGGATGATTCGAGTGCTGATGGAGAGGAGGTTTCCTCTAGTCAGCCTTCCAGATTTAAAACTATATTCTACCAGCTTTTTCTCTTTTTGACATGTACCCCCTTGTATGTACTTTGGACTTATGGTCATTTGTTGATGCAAAGATTTTGTAACTATGATATTTATGAGATTCATATGCTCCTTTAGTACTTTTGGTTCACATGTTGCCTATCCCTCAATTTTTAATTTTATTTTTTTTGCCTCGACAATAAGTTTGGTCCCTAGCAGAGTTTCACGCTGTAGAGTGATAGTTTGTTGTATTAAATGCTCAGTTAGGCGATCTTGGTGTCGTAGTTAGCTATTTTCAACTGATGTGCAACCGTAGGTGATCTTGTTGTCGTAGTTAGCTATTTTCAACTGATGTGCAACCGAACAATCTTGGTGTCATGGTTGGTTGTTTTCATTTGATGCACAGTGATACACCTAAAATATATAGATTAAAATATATAGATTTTATGTACACATTTGTATACCTATTTTTGAGATATTACGCTTTAATGAAAGGTATTTGTGTGTTTTTCTTTAGGGCACAATTAAATGGATGAAAAATGGTTAAATGAGTGAAAAAAAAGATCAAATTTGGAGCAAATTAAATGGATGAAAAATGGTTAAATGAGTGAAAAAAGATCAAATTTGGAGCAAAAATGAAGAAAATGTGAAATTGAACTGAGGTATCTAAGCTTGAACTGAGGTACCTAAGTGCCCAGTACCTCGCGCTTAAACACCAGAAGTAGTTACTTGATGATTTAATGAATTTGGATGAATTTTTGAAGAGGTGTTTGAAACAACCCTTGCTGAAAACGTGGGAAATAGTTAATGGACATGAAAATTC